TTAGAACCTAGCTGAATCCTACTTAGTACCATCACGGAGGCTTGTTTACAGAAGCCACGCCCGGAAAGCCACAACCTCTAAGAAGGCTAATGAGCACCGTCTCAGGTACTACATCGGGCTTTACAGTCACGGCCTTGGGCTTCGTCCGAGGAGCATTGCAAGGCCGAGGAGGCTGCAACAAAGCGATCCACACCTGTTCGAAGGCCCAGGGGATTTAGTAAGTACCTAGAGGCTTCACAGTAGTTCCCTTTTGTGGCTCATATTCAGAATCCTATGGGTAACCAACAAGGAGCTACAATGGAGCCTGTGGGTAGGTGGTTGCTGGCTGTATCAAGGTGCTACAAGGGTTCTTGCAGTGTTAAAGGGTTGCTGAGCCTACAAGGGTTTTATGACAGTTCTGCAAAGTTTTAAGGCTGCTGCTGCGCTTAACAATTTTGTATAAGGGTTCTTGCAACGTGTTAAGCCTTAGGATCAAGGGATTTGGTAAGTAGGTTCCAATTGGAGCAGTGTTGGGTGTGCATGGTTTCGGGGCTCTAATTTCGGATCGGCGGCCGGTGGTTTTCGGATCAGAGCGGGATAGCTTCGGCACAACGGGAGTCAGTTTCGGGACGAGTTTCAGCTGACGAGGTGAGGCCGGGGCCTGAAACTGACCATGGCTTGAGACCGAAACTGATCGTGTCCTGATCCGAAACCGTCCCGGAGCGTGTTCTGCCCCGAAACCTAACCTCGAAAACCCTGAAACTCACAACTTTCCACAAGTGTTTTGATTGGGGTTATCCGGCCCACCAACCTACTTGTGACTTAGATAGGAGGGATGGTCCGTGGCTTCAGGTATTGGAAGGGCTTGGGGTCACCAGGGGTCTAAACTTACATGAAGGACATCCAGTTTCTTTCTGGTACCCAATCATGAAGTAAATTGAACACTTAGGGTATCATGCCCACGGAAGACAGCCCGCATAGGAAGACCGTAAATAGCAAATAGACTCTGCCCCTCAACTCCAGCATCAAGCTGTTAATGCCAAACCCTACCTCAACCTGAGCCCCGTGACCTAGAACCCTAGACCCGTACCACAAACTCCCCAAACCCCTAAACCTACAACCCTATCCAGTCGAAGGCACAGCTTACCAAGGACACTGTCACCGCCATCGTGTACGACGCGAGCCTCATTCGGTGTAGGCTTCGGGGGACGTCGGTCTGGGCTTTGGTGGCTTTGGATAGAAGAGGTTTTGATTCTGACGGTTTTCCAGTGTGGCTCAGTTACTGGGTTCAGGCTGGGAGGAGCCGGCTTTCAAAACCCAACTCAACAGCCGAAGTACCAAAGAGCGACCCGGGCGTTCTGTTCTTTGTCACACTGGCCAGGGGTGGAGCTGCCCGAGCGTAATCTTCAAGCCCCACCCAACACATCCCGTGTCCGGATCTCATGTTGAGCAGACCCCGTGTCAGTATGCCCTTACAGGCCTTAGTTTGCTTCGGAAGACCGTGAAACACCGAACGACCACGACAATATCGATATGCAACAGAATCTAGGGCCGAATCTCAGGTTCCTGGCATCAGAAAAAACAAAACTCGCAGCCACTAGACCGGTGTATTTAGGGTGAAATCACCTGAACCCGAAAATCCTCAACCCTGACCGCCCTACACCCTTAATCTTCACGAAAGTGGCGGACTGAGCAAGTAGGTTGGTGCCTGGGCCTTAGCCTTCAAATGCATCCCAAGACCCCTAAACTGTAAACCCTAACCCACCCCCGCAAATCTCACAACCCAGCTCACAGAAAGCCTTGCAGCTTGTAAACCCTGTATACATGCCTACAAAGCTGCCCTAATCGTTTTTCCTGGTCTCGCCTCTTGGTACGTGCTGCCGTCCACACGGCCGGCCATGGTCACACCCAATCTATGTGGGACTTGGAGACATCTTTGAGCCCAGCGCGGGGTTGCGGCTTAGGCATGCGGTTTCGAGTTCGAGGCTTAGGGTTTAGGGCTTAGGGTGTCGGCTGAAGGTCCTATCTCATTCTAGGAGCCCAGCAAAAACCCTCATGTCTCCGAAGCAGGTTGCGGGAGTGTGCGTGACTGCATGGGAATCTGAGGGCCTATTTCTAAGCACTCAGGCCTCTCTATGAAATGAGCCAGTGTCAGGGAACCTGATCTCCTTATGGCGAACAGAGTCCCCACATCCTCCCAAACCCTGGAACTCGAAGCCCCAAAACATCCCAAAACCACGAAGCGCAAGATGCCACAAACCCTGACCTTGCTGAAAAGCGAAAAACAAACCAAGATGAACAGGTTTGGGAAAACGAAGAACGACGCCAAAGAAGGGCCCAAAGCCGAACCGAAAGTCCCTAAAGCCATGGATCCTTGCGGGTTCAAGCCCCAACACTGAACACGCTAATTACTGGTAAAATCACACAACCTCCCCAGCCAAAACTGAACCCTCCCAAACCATCAAAACTCTGCAGTCCTAGGAAATCGTAAGAAACCGTAAGAAGCCGCGCAGACACCTTTCACGGCAAACCCTCAACCCTAAACCCCGCAAACCTAGAAGGAGCCTGGCAACCAGGAGAAATCCTCCTCTGGCCCGGGCCTGGGAGTCTGTTTGGTTTGGGCTTTACGGTTTCAAGGGCTTTCAGAGTTTCTGGGCTCTTGAAGGGTCTTAGAAGTCCATATAGTGGGTTAGGAATCTCTGTTGATAGATCGACATACTGAGCCCGCACATTCCTCTTCTGGGTCAGAATTGCCTCATTCTAGGTCTTAAAAGCTTCATGTTGTGTGATTTTGGGCGCCGAAGCTTGATAGTTTGAAAGGGCGGTTAAGGCTTCTAGGGGGTTCTGAAGGGGTTTGCTGGATGGTCTTGTGCTTCGGAATGTATACAAAGGGCTTTGGTGGTTTGGACTTTTCGGGGATGTGGGCTTTCGTTGGTCGAAGGATTGCAAGTGCAGGGCATCGCGGAGTGCATGCTTGAGGGGTTCATAAAGCCCCTTTAAACCCTACTACACGCTAAACCCTAAGCCCCTAAACCCGATGAGACTATCGGCCCGTTTTTGCCATCAATCCTCGCGGCCCCAATTAGGAGGAGCTGTCTCTGCGGGGCTACCTTTCAAAGATGAAGAGCTCGTCGCGTCAGAGACCCTCGTGAGGCTGCAAAGGAACTCAGAGCTTCTAGGGCTTTGGGTTTAGGGCTTAGGGAAGTTCAAGGTTCTATGAGGATGTTGAGTGAATTGCGGATCCGCAGATTCAGCTTCATAGCAGAGTGCCCGTCCGGCCTTCTCCGGCCAACACGACAACAACACCACCACCAACAACAACAACCAACAACCACCAACAACAACCAACAACAACCAACAACAACAACAACACCCATCTATAGATGTCTATATATATATATATATATGCTACCCCCCTCCCCGTCATGTGCCCATATACATATATATATATACACACACATATAGCCTATTAATACTTTATACAGGTATAAACAGTTCTACAAGCATGACAATCATCGTCAGCACAAGCATTAGCATTGCCTTCTTGCTTCTCACTTGATTACCATCTCCGATGTATCTAGTTCTTGCAGCTGTTGCAGGAGTAGTGCTGGTTGTAGTGCCGGTGGCACAGGAACCACAGGAATACCAATCGCATCAGCTTCTTATAACTGCTTTACTACGTATGACTGGCAGTCAGAGGAGTAAGGGCGATAACATTCTGGCAACTGTCTATGAGAGCTTCCGGTCTTCACAATGCCCCAACTTTTGGTGAATTCCTTCTCACTGAGCTACACGTCGGAAATCTGCACAATCCCCATTGCTTCAAGATCTCTGCAAATGACCATATGGATGTCACTACGAAGCACATACCCTAAATCCTATCACTCAACCCTGAACCCTAAACCATTAATCGGAAGGGGTTTACGGTTAGTGTCAGAACTTGGTGCTTAAGGCTTCTGAACTACTTTGCGGCCCTCTCCAGATGGGCGTCTCGGAAGCGACTCACCTCTAAGTTAAATAAGTCTCTCTGCAAGGACTGCGGAACATCGCCAGGAAGCGGAAGGCGAGTCGCAGGCAGAATTTCGATCGAAGGTCTCGATCACCCAAAACTCGAAACCCTAACACCCTGGCCCTAAACTCTGAACCCTAAACTTTAAACCTCCCTAAACCCTCACTAAACAACACCAAGACCCCCCTGGAACCGACATAGCATCCTTACATAACACTCTATGTATAAACACCCTGCGTGGAACCCTGCAAAGCAATGAACCCAAGCCCTGAAACCCTCTTGTGGGATCCCAGGACTAGCCAAGCTTACTCTGAACCTCACTGTGTCGAGTTTCGGCTTTGTTAGGAAGCTTGGATGTCGGTGTTTTAACCCTCCGGCTCAGTGGACTTATTACCAAAGCGGCTCTACACTTAGGGTAGCCGATTTTGCTTACTCTTTACCCTGAACTGAACCCTCAACCGCGTTCGAAATCCTGAACCTCCAAAACCCTGAACCCCAAAGCCCCCGACACCCTCCATCATCCACAAGCTAAAGAAACTTGTTCAATGATGTCGCTCTTTCAAGGGCTCGTTGCTGTGGTGAAGAACCATATGGAAGCTTGAATCTTCTTTTCAGCTTTAAACTTTAAACCCTAAAGTCCTCAAGTCTAGACTGGAAGCTTGAACCCATGACACCTGACACCGATGTACCTCAGGTATCAGGGTCCCTATCATGATTGGAACAGGGTTTGGGATATTGTAACGTAAGCTGCTAGATGCCTCAAAGAAGCTGAAGCAGTCTCATAAGAGACAGACCAGGGCGGCGGGGATATTGTATTACAATTACCGAAGGACTGCAAGGAGATAATATTACTAGTTGTTCAAGCCTGGGTATTCAACTTAAACCCCTAAGCCCCACAAAGCATAAATCCGATGAAGAACCGTTCTGAGAACTGATGGAACCATGTGATCCGAATAGACCCTAAACCAACTTCAGGGGCCTCCTAAGCCCCCCTTTCTCAGAGCACCGGCACTCAGTAGCCACCGCCTCCGTTGGAGAACTTCTTGTTGAACTCCTCCTCCGTGGTCCGTGGTTCCGCAAGAGCTTTGGGAGTTAAGGCTTTGGTTTTTCGCAGAGGGATGAACTCGTAGTTTGCAGCACAAACTCGAGAATCTAAATCTGCTGAATAAACAGGAAACTGAGCTCCCTGCCACCGAAACATCTAGTTTTGAATGTACAAGATTGCACATACACAAAACTTAAGAAGTTAGGTACTCAACTGCTCAGACATTACTTAAACTGAAAGCCTTCCAAACTGCCACCTCGGCTGCAAAGCCGAACCCGTAAGCGCGAGCCCCAGACCAGACTAACCTCCAAGCCGCGGAGCCCTAAATGCTAAACCGAGACCCAGAGCTGCTTCAGTTCGGCTGAGCCAAGGAACCCAGAGACTCCAATAACCCTTAAAGAAGGAATATTCCTTGAAAATATCAGGGAACCCTACTATGATTTAATGGATATTCCTTAATTAAGGGATATTGGAGTCTCTGGGAATGCTCCTGGAAGTCAGCGAGCTTGCGCACAACATCCTGCATCGGGGTTTACGGTGTAGGGTGTAGGTTTTAGGGTGTAGGGCTTGTGCGGAATGTCCTGGATCGGGCTTGGTACTACACTAGGCGTGACTTTCCAAAAAGCTCCCACACGTATTTTGGAATAAGGGCTCTATGTTTAACAACAAAGGACATGTAGCATCCATCCTGAATCGGTACCTGCTAGAGGGACCTTGACCTTGATAGTTGGAATAGGGTTTTGGTGCACCGTACACTGTCACAATATAAAGGAGCCCTTCTGGGTGCATAAGCAATAGCATTGGTATGATTTAGGTAGGTGTCGACGTTATTGGCTCGATATGGGAGTTTCAGGAAGGTACGGGAATCTTCATATAGACCTACACAGCAGGATCCCTATTCCCAAATCGCATCATAAGATGAACCTCTGTAGGATCACTGGTATGAGGAAGCCTGAGTAAGGCATCCTTGAATTGTGTGCTCGGCACTTGAGCTCACACCTCTGGGCCTGTTTTTTTCTGAAATGCAGCGCAGAGTTTAGATCTTTCGGGTTCCACAGTATTTGGGACTTTCCGAAACTTAGGGGTAGCTTATCTTGGGGTCCTTGTAATAAGGATCCTACTCTTAAGGGCACTATTTTAAGGTCCCCTAATTTTCGGAAACCCCCATGCGTTGTGGTTCTAGGCCCCCCTATAAGGCTTTGCCGGGCTCCAGTCTTCAGTGACCGGGTAGACGGGGCTTAGGATTTTAGGCCTCCGGCTGTTGCGGGCGAGCATATTGCTAGGAAAAGTTATAGCAGCAGCAGTCGCAATAGCAGCAATAGTAGCAGCTAAACCCTAAACCCTAAACCCTAATAGTAGCAGCAGCAATAGCAGCAGTGGCAGTAGCAGTATCAGCGGCCGCCCTAAACCCTAAACCCCAAACCCCAAAACCCTAAACCCCAAAACCCTAATCCCTGAACCCCAAACCCCAGTCGCAGCAGTAGCGGTTACTAACCAAAAGGCACCTCTAGGACCTCGTCGGGGGGAAGGATGGTCGTGCGGAAGTGGAAAGTGTCCTGCTGGGGGTCTGGGGTTCAGGGTTTAGGGGTTCAGGGTTTAGGGGTTTAGGGTTTAAGGACTAGGGTTGAGGGTTTGGGTTTAGAGTTTAGGGTTTAGGGTAGGGTATAAGACAAGTCTGAGGTTTTGAGATTTAGGATATGAGGCTCGTAGATGCTACCCCCAAAACTGGACACTGAGGGACGGTCTGGATTGAGGGTGTAGATTTACTTACTTGTATTGGTTGAACTAAGATCCCAACCGTTAAGTGCTGAAGGGCAGAATTTTGGGAGTTGGGTCGGATTCCGTACCGGGGATATTGCAAGACGTTGCCTCCCAGTAAGCTGGAACTGAATATGCTATGTTTGCATAAGTCCTGTTGAAAGATTCTTCGTACGTGCGCAACACGTTGTAAGCGATTGAAAACGTGTTGTACTGGAGTCTTGATATGGATGTTGAAGTTCTGAATCAGGAATATATACATATATACGCATATGCGTATATACATGTATGCATATATGCATCTGTACACATGTACAGATGTACATATGTACATACATACATACAAACAAACCTACATAAATTCATGCATACATACATACATATACACATGTATATACACGTGTATATACACATGTATATACACATGTATATACACATGTATATACACATGTATATACACATGTATACATGTTACATATACACATACAGATATACACATACAAATAAACATACATATATATATATATATATAGACATAAAGTTTGTGGCATCAACATATGCCCTGATCAATGCGATCCTCGCTATAAGCATTCTATTCTAGGTCATCCGCAAAAGGAAGAAAATTACTACAACCCCGTCTCAAGGCCAAGATAAACCCAGAAACCCTCAATAGGTAGCCCCTGAATGCATGATGTTGCTAGTGGAGACTTCGCCCACCTTCCTAGACTTCTTGCTGTGAGCTGAGAGTGAGTTAGCGCAGAAGCCCCTGAAAGATCTGGATCTGGATAGGTGCCATTAACTTGTGGAGGTTTCGGGCTTGAGGATCTAACAGACTGACATGGCCTTCGTAATACGAGACACTAGCAGCCCAAACCTTAAACCCTTGAATACCTTCCTGCTTGGGTATAAGACCCCCCCTTCAGAGGAGTTCGACAGAAACCTGCTTGCGAGAACCTTCTCTCTATCTGCGGCCTACATATTTCTATCCAGGAGGGTTAAGTTATGCTTTGTCGTTTTCGGTGTTGCTGGCTGCTTGGACTGGCCAGGTGTGCCAAACTCTACCGGAGTCATACACCTATACCCTAAACCCACAGCCTGAATCCAAAGAAAGCCCATCCCTTACATCCCCCGCATAGGATCCCTAAACCCTAAACCCTGCAGCCGTCCTCTTGTTGGCCGAAGCCACTGCCTGCACCAGGGTTTCAGCACTTGCGGTTTAAGCTCAAATATAGGGGCCTTAATAATTAGAATAGGGTTTTTGCGGGTTCCTTGTTGTCATAATAGTATAATATCCCCCAAAGCCTATTCCATTTATTAAGGCCCCTATATCAAGGAGGCTCACAGGAGGCTCACCCCAGCTGAACCGATAGATTCTCTCAGGCCCCCATCGGTCTTGCATTTACCTTTCGGGCTACGGTTGATGGTTCTGACAGGGTCATGTGGGTTGTTGTCAAAATTAGGCTCCCTTTTTGGGTCCCGAATACCCCAAAAGGGACCATAATTTTGACAACCACCCATGTAAAGGGTCGGAATAAAGAGTAATTAATTGATATCCCGTCACAGGTCAAGTGTAATAAATTCTTGAAGCTCGCTTCGAATGATTACGGCCTCTGAAGTACATCAGTACCAGGGTTCCTGTAAAGTGGCTCACGAAGAACTCATGCTCCATCGAACTCTACACCACCAGACACTCCACCTTCGGCAAGTATGCTTAGGGTTCATAAGGCGCTAGAGGCGTGGGTTTAGGGTCGAGGGTTTAGTCGTCTAGGCCAAGATCAGGAGTCAGAGCCCTGAACCCCAGAACCCTAAACCCTAAATCCACCAGAACAACTTCGTAGAATGCAGAAAGGAGCTCCGAATGGAACCGCCGTAACCGTAACCCCTGTAAGGAGTTCACACAAGCTCCAGCTAGTAGGAGCTCCAAAGCATACCCCCCTGATAATGGAAGAGAACAAACGGTCAGATAAGACAAGATGAGACCCTACAACATAATGTGATACTGCCTAGAATCATGTAATACAATACTTTCATTTATAAGCGAGAGAATCACGTTAGGCATCCCGCACTTCGATTCGGACCTGGCACGGTCACGATCCCCGTCTGTTCCAAGAGCTCCAGGCACCTGGGCGTTACAGTTCGGGATTTTGGCTTCAGAATTTTGGCTTAGGTTTAAGGGCCAGGCGAAACGTGACTGATCCTGTGTGCGAACGAACCAGGAGCCAGGACGGACCGCAAGAGAAGACTGGAATGGTGCCCTTTGTGCCCAAAGGAACAAGGCAAATGCCAGGCCAGCTTTCAAGGCCATTGAGAAATGGAGGTTGGAAGAAATGCCCAGTGAGGGTGTGGTTGAAGCTGAAAACGGAATTTGGACAAGTGGCTCATGCTATACTGCAAATGTCGTTCTAGTCGTCGTTCGACCTTATTCCTAAACCTTATTCCTATTATAGAAATTTCATTAGAGAATACCATTTCCATTTTCTAGGGTTCGGGATTTAGGGTTGGGGAATATGGTGGTTCTGTGGATGTGTGGGTGTATGGGGTTTGAGGTTGGGTTTTTTTGTATGTGGTGGTGTATGGCTCTTCTGGTGGTTCCAGGGTATGGGTCTTAGGTTGGGCTTTTTGGTGAGTTCAGGGTTGAGGTACAGGTTGCTATGGTGGTGGGTCTTCAGGCGAGTTATCCCTAGGGTTCTACCTCTGGGTCTTGGATGGGCTGAAAGTTGAGGTATAGGTTGTTACGGTTTGGGTGCCAGGGGGTTGTGCATGGTTAGAAAATGGAAATGGCCATTGCTAACTCAATAAGGACGAATATGAGCCTGGAGTATTTCGGAAGGGCTTGGCAGGGTAGACCATCGTCTGATGATATGAAGACTATACAGAAACAAAATCTTCCAAAAAGCTCAGACAGTTTATCCAAGGGTAAAAGGAGGGACCCTGAATAAGGACCCCTAGGTATAGAGCCTTTATATTGCTATTATATAGCCATTATATAGCCCATTATAGGGTAGGGGTCCCCATTAAGGGTCCCTCCTTTTCCCCTTTGAGTTTAAATCCCAACGACTTACAGGGCAGGCACCACAGCTCGTCCGGATCCTGATGCTTGATGCTGGCAGCCTGAGCCCAGCCATGTGTGAGTTTCCGCAAATTAGGGGGTACCTTATTTGGGGGTTCCTCATAATAAGGATCCTGCTATCTAGGTTGTTGAAAGGCAGGGGTTTGCAGATCGCGTTTCGGGATGCAGCGTGCTCTCAAGAGTCTGGGATACTGTCGCGGAAACGGGTTTGTCTTGATCATCTCGAAGGATCATTGGCAGCACCCAGCCCAGCGTAGAGAGACTCCGGCAGCCCTCAATTGAGGAATATGCAGGTTCAGAGTTCGCCCCTTATTTAAGGTAGATTGGTTTGGAGTCCCTGGGCATGTGACATGTGCGAGGGGCGGGTACAGGAACGCGACGCGCTGGATACTTGGACGATGGCTCGGAGGCGCGTTTGAATTTCTGGGATTCTGGGGCTTTAGGGTGTATACTGCAAACTCTACTGTAAATCAACACAACAACAGTCTCGTTTTGAAGGTTAAGGAAACAACTGCTTGGGGCTCCCGTACTGGTCCCGCCTGGATCGCTCCCTTCGGCAAGGTGATCTTCGGGAAGGCATACATAGCTCCTCACGCAGATCTCTAAACCCCAAACCCTAGACCCTAAACTCTTAACCCTAATCATATATATATATATAAATAACCCAAATGGAATCAATGCCATGGGGTTGGGATTCACGACATGTTGGCACCTGTGAAAGAGAACGCTATGGATCCATTGCTCGTCTTCGATTTGGTTCGATGCTCACTGGGACTTCATGTCCTTCAGCCACGCAACCCCTAAACCCTACTGCTCGACGGGTTTAAGGTCCAAGAACCTTCAATCCCAGAACTTCGGGAACCAGGGCATACTCCGAAACCAAACTCAGGAGGACCCCGAAAGCTTGAAGATATCAAGCTCTTTGAAGTCCTCGCTTCACCATCTGCGGTAACTGAAAGACCCCTTTCAAAAGCCCTCACAGAAAACTCAAGCTTAACTCCAAAGATTCAGCCGTTAAGCCCGATCATCTAGGATGTATTCCTCAAGAAAAGAGGTACTGTACCGTCTGGCACAAGGGAGCTCAATGAAAGGCTCATTGGTCAGTCCGTCAATGGGCTGGCAGCTGATGCCGGGCACCTCTGCATGCTTTTGGCTGTTGGGGTTTATGCTCTAGTGCTTTAGGGCTTTAGCGTGTTAGGCTGAAGGTCTGGGAGTTTAGGGTTGCATGCAGTTGTTCTTTGAGAACCTGCGAGTTCTAGGTTGTCATTTTATGAAGGCGGTGTTCTTAAATTAGGGGTGGCGGTTTAGTGGCCTGTAGAACGAGGATAGCAACTTCCAGGGGTCTGTTGCACGGTCTCGTATTCTCGGAAACGTCCCGGGGACATCCTAAAAAGCGCAGATTTATTTGTGCTTCTACATTGCGGGTTAGGGCCCGGCAAGTTTAATGGCTTGAGGTTTAGGGGTTTTCGGTCAACCCTAAACCCTCATCCTCAAGGTTTGGGGGCGCGGGGGTTCAGAGGGCAGAAGGAAAGGGGTTGAGGAAATAGATTTCTCCACACAGCGAAGCAGCCCAGAAACAGAGCCTTGTACAAAAATTGATTATAGGGTTTGCGATTATGTCTTCAATTAGAACTTAAAAACAAAACCTTATCAACAAAATGACAGTCTCTAGCTTCATAAGATCTATGGAGCGTGCGGAAATCTGGAACAGATCTTAAGCCCTGAGCCTACTGAAACTAAGGGTCTAGGGTTTCTCCTGCATTCAAGTCCCTAAACCAGGTTTTCCCAGTATCCCCTGTAAAAATGACGGCACCCTTCTTCCTACTATTTCGCTTTAAGGGTTTTGCTGGGGAACCTAGTAACCCACCAAACACATTCCAGGACCGGCCTTGTTCAGTGCAGCTGTGAGGTGCAGCGCCCGCCTGCAACCAGGGCTTTCGGCACATCTGTTTGGTGTCAGGAACAACTTTTTACATGGCTCTTACACAAGGCTATGTAAGACTTGTAACGCGCAAGGGCGCAGAGGAGTGTAAGGAGTAAGATGTAGGGTTTCGATTTAATGGCTTCGGGCAGTCAGGGCCCCGGCTTTGTTCAGAAATCGTCCCTCATGCCGCAAGGATGTTGAGCGATGTCGGGTTCCTACCGGACTCCTACTTGTGTAGCCCTTCCGGGAACGTAGTAAGTAGGGAATCCCGATGTATTACATTTGGCATCACGGATTACACATGTATTATCTGCAGACGCGCACAGCGCTGAAGCCAAGCCTCAAACCCTAAGCAAGCTAAATGCCCTCAAGCGGATAGTTGATGTGGACTTACTCGATGGCATTTTAAGATGCCCTGGCATGTGAGGTCATCAGGCAATGCCCCGCTGTCAAAGCGCATGCTTTGTCGGTATCCTGGCAGTAATTGGAGTGTTGGCTTCCCTGCGTCTTGAACCCCAAAAGCACACGTGCAGCCGTGGCGACTGACACTTACAGCCGTAGTAAGCTTCTGATTCTGCAGGGTCAGTACCACCGGCTTCCCGGTGGGGATCATGTCACAGCTGACCCACAGTAGCGCCCCGCATCACTGCGGCTTACCTCCGCCTGGAGCCGCTCGGTACAGCCAGGTAATGACGAAGGAGGTTCCTCGGCGCCGGAGGCTTCTCGATTTGATGAAGCTCAGCCAAGACCGGGTAATGTCCCACAGTGTCTTCAGCTCGCGCCCCAGCACAGGCGCTCGCTGGATGGGAGCAAAAGGAGCCAACCCAAATACGTAGACGCACTAAAGAATCTCAACCCTAAACCCTAAACCCTAAATCAACCTTCCCAACAAGATCAACTGCCCCTGAACAACAAGCCCGTGTCCGAGGACCCAAAAACCCAAACTTGAAAGCCCTTGTACGACCCTACACATTGTGGAAAACCCTTATTAAATCCTTTACAGCACCCTTATACAGCTCCCATCAACGTTTACATTTCCGCTTGCAACCCTTACGATACCGGTACGAAGCCATTACAGAATGCTCGATAGAAAACACCTTTGAAATGCCCTGAAACAACTGCTGGCGCAACTCCACATGCATAACAAGTCTTCTGAAAACTCTAGTAGCTCCCCCTAACAAAACCCAATGCAAACATACGTATAACAAGAACCCGTAATGACTTCCTGCAAACCCCTGTGAGAACAATGCGAAGTCCCTAAACCGCAAATCCTAAATCACAAGCCCTAAACCCTAACCCCGAAACCAGAAGCCCCAAACCCGAAGCCCTAAGACCGAAACTGGAAGCCGTGTACAGCCCTAAACCCTACCTTGACCTCCCCAAACCTGCCTTTTTTTTACAGGCTCCAATGTCAAAAAAAACTATTATTGAATTTATAGGGACCCTACAAAAAAGTAGGTTCTGGTGGGTTAAGAGCCAACCTCTTCAAGGACTCAAAGATCTCCGAGGTCTCCTTTTGGAAGAGCTCGTAGGATGGCTCGCCTTGCAACTCTCTAGATGCTGGGTCAAATTACTATACCCCCTTAGAACCATCATAAACATAATATGTTTAATGTTGTCTTGGGTTTTATATGAACAAAAATACAAAAGGAGACTATAGCTAAAAGGGTATAGTGTTTATTAGGGCTTCACACTTTAGGGTCTACTGAAAAGGGCTTTGCTTGCAGTGTGCAGCGAACCCTCGTTACGTCACTTGCAGGGTCTAGAATTGTTTTTCGGCGCGTCGAAGTGAGGTGCTCCAATTTGTTCCCAGCTTCGCTATCGAGCTGCGGCCCCGCAGTCTCCCTCAAACACTCCTGCTCATGAAAGTAGAACGTCGCGAATGCAGGATAACAATGCTGCTTGGAGGGTTTAAGGGGTCAGCGGCTTAGAGCTTGGGGTAAAGGGTTTTCCGTTTGGGGTGTAGGGCTTCAAGTCTGGAGTGTAGGGCTTAAGTCTTCAGGTTTAGAGTCTACTGACAGGATCATGGGAGATAGTAACTGGGGTTACACATAGGGTTGCCATTCTTCTAACTGCCCACGTCCTAAGTGCAGCACTTATCGACGCATTAAGTTCTCTGGTCGTCCAAGTAGGGCTCCTTTTAGGGATGCTTCCTAGCTTCCTGCTGAAAGGTTCCGACGAGGCATATAAGGTTTCCTTCCAGGGTTTCTTCGAGGGTCCCTTCTGAGATTCCCTCTGCGTCTACAGGGGGCAGCTGAACACTTCGTGAGTGTCCGCTGACTTCAGGGACCTATGGGTTTTACAACGTATGCATATTGCACAACTGTGCCATGTAAGCAGTTTTGGTGATTTTACGTCTGTTACTCTATGCTCGGTGTTTTGGTGCTTTTAGGGGTGGGCGTCCGGGGTTTAGGGGTTTTGAGGCTTGTGAATGCTTGGGGTAGGGTTTGCCTAGAGCCTGCGATTCGAGGGTGATGCCGTAAACCCATGAAACCCGAGGCCCGCATCTTGCGCCTCCAAATTGCTGGCTAAGTGTTTCAAGCAAACCCTAAGCCTAAGATTATTTATCCTAAACCCTAAACCCTCCTCAACCCGAAAGCCCAGACCTGAAATTATTTATGGTGGCTAGCAAAGGCTCCGACTGAGGCCTGGCTTCGGCCAAGGGTTGCTAAGGTCGGATCCAGGGCTCTGATTAATAAAGCTTACGGCTTGGTGGTTGGGGCGTTTGATCTAGGCCCCTCCTGATTCTGACTCAAAAATCTCCCTCGCGCAACTCATGACTTTAGATAGGGATAAACTTCCCTTGAGGGAAGGCGGTTTCTGCTTCCTAAAGAAGGGCCTATCGTCAATAGTCAGGGACATCGTGGTTCTGAGGATAACTCCTTTCGCCACGGCTCCAAGGTTAGAGGTTGTAGGTCAGGCTTGCACGAGATTACCCCTACGCTGTGAAATTGCCACCCGAGCTCTGACCGATCGAACTGCTGGGTCTCCCAGTATTTTTGAGGGCAATAGATTCACTTCGTAGTAGGTAACGGCTTCGAACTTACGATGGACATGGCTATGCGAAAAAGTACGAAGCCTGAGTTAGCTGCGATGGCACACAGCAAGCTAATACAAGGGCCGTGGTAATGAGAACAGGATCTTGGGAATTTTGCACTAGAGCGAGAATAATGAGCCCCCCCCAAGATAGTGTATTGGATGTGTATTGGCAATTGTTTGTGCCCCTTTCGGCTATACTACAGCTTCGGCTGCAGGATTTGTCGAAGAGCTTACTCGTAAGGTTTCAGATCAGCTTCTGCCTGCACTTCACGGCTACTGTAGATTCCTCACTGTTTAGAGAAGGGTTTGGGGCTCCTTTGTAGCACGCTTTCAAAAGGAGCCCTCAGGAATAATATTGGTAATTAATCAGGCTTCTACCGTAGTGAGGCACTGAAAAAACGGCCAGCGGCATGAATCAAAAAGGCTCATTAGCCGCATCCTGCTAGGTTTAGGGTTTCAGGTTGGGGGCAGTTCATTGTAGTAGGGTAGAAAAAGGGGCCGAGCCGCTATTTTGCCAAGAGAATGTCCAGCTTGAACCCGCGATGCCCAACTCCTAAACTCGGAACGCTTCCACCCCAAACCCTGCACCCCAAGATCTCCCCTAGAACCGTCTCACCGGCCCCCATTAGAGTCATAGATAGAATCGAACCCTAAGCCCTAAACCCTAAAACCCTAAACCTAAACCCTTAAAACCCCAGAGCTCCAAACAAAAACGACTGAAGCCAAGCCAAGTCGCCAGGCTCAGGCGGTTTCACCATGAGCCCCATGAAGATTTGCCTCGCTCTTTGCGTAGTTGTCAAAATTAGGGTTTGTTTTGGGGTACCCTAAATGTTAGTAGGTGCCGTATCAAAAAAGGACCCACAAAGGGACCCCAATTTTGACAACCACCCCTTTCTTGAAAGAAGGAGGCTCCTTTTATGGCTTCGATACTGCTTTGGCTTTGGGGAGTGGCATTTCGGGCTGACGACATGCGGGCTTACAACTGGCGCTTGTTCAAAAATCCTGGCCCAACACTTTATACAACAAGTAGGTGTTGGGGCTCGGGGTGCAGACATGACAGGCTGAACGTCAATGCAACCATGGGTGTTTTATGGGAAGCTACACAAGTTCCACAGGGCTCATAAGGAATTCAAGGTTTCAGGGTATGTGGTTCGGATTCAGGGCTTCGGGATATACCTTGTCTTGCGGAATGTACAGTTCAATGAAGCTTTAGTGGGGTGTGCGTTCCGGGTTTGGGGTTCTAGGTTTGTGTTGGGCTTGGAGCTCAAAAAACTACGGAACTACCTCTGGAGTTGGATCATCGCCAAAGCAGATATGGTGTTCCCTGTCCCGCTGTACCAGGATTCGGGATTAGGGGATACCTGTGTTCCTAATGCTAGGCTTCAGGGTTTAGGGTTTTAAGGCTTCGGGTCGCTACGTATTGTCCTCGGGTTTTGGCTTCAGGGTCCTTCTTACTGGACCCTGCTGATACGGATCTTCACAACTGGTGCTTTCGAGGGCTTGTTCCTGTGTATGTAGATCCGAATGTTGAGGGTCCAGATTTGCGATCCCTTGCCTACCCCTAGAGATAGAGACAGAGACTGAGAGAGAGCGAGCGATAGAGAGAGAGAGAGAGAAAGAAAGAAAGAGAAGGCTTCCACATACTAGGGACCCTGCAAGGAACTAAACTTCCAAGTAGCCCGAGAGTGTTCGACGACAGCGAAGTTGCCGCCATCTTCGTGAACTGCGACAGCACGGAGTCGGAGAAGCCTTCCCGGATGCTCGAGATACGGCTTTGGGGTTTTAGGGTATAAGGGCTTCAGCATATTGGGCTTTGGGCTATTCAGGGATTGAACGGGGCCCTGACAACCTACACCATCCCAGAACCCTTATCCAGGCTCCGAGAGCTCGCGAACTCTCTGTCGCTCTTGGGACGACTTCGTCAGTTGTCTACAGTACAGGTTAGACATCTTGGGATATTTCTGGAATCTTGAACTCACCATATCCCTAAATCCCAAACCCTAAGCCAAAACCCTAAATCCCAAGGCATGTGTGCCTTTCTCTCCGTCTCAGCAGCCCGGACAGCTTTGGTCCAGAATGAAGTCTGAGAAAAGCGACATGGTGACACCGTCGTGTTGCTCTGCACACGAAAACCCGAATATAGTGGCACAATTAGACTAGGGTTTTTGGGGGCCCATTATATACTATAAACATAACAAGGAACCCCTCCAAAGTAGTAAAGGTAATGATTGTGGCCCCTATATATTAGGGCTAGGGACCCTCCATAGGAAACTCCAAGATCGGATTAGCTCTCGGCGTCCCGCTGGATTCCGCGACCTAGTGGAAGAGAGCTGAGGGCTTCAGGGTTGAGGGGTTTAAGGTGTAAGGGGGGGGGCCCTAACAATTAGAATAGGGTTTAGGGCTATAACATACTATAATGAGAGTGGTTTAAGGTGAACGGCAGTGTAAGGTTCGGGTTGAAGGTGCAGGGTGCAGGGTTTATGGTTCAAGCTTCCGGGTTCAGGTTAAGGATTCGAGGTTTGGGGGTGTCGAAAGTTGAGGCTGTAGCGCCTCGGGCCTAATCAAAGACTTTGATTCAAGCACTTAAGCCAGATTTTCAGTCTCGAGAGGGCTCGTAAGCCTGATTCCATTGTCTTCTTCCACACCTGGACCGCTTGACTCTGACGCCATGGGACAGTTTCTCTCTCTGCTCTGGCGGGGCTTGGCTTCTCCAAGCCCGGTCAAGCCGTTCCGAATAGGGGCACATGCTTCGATTCTTTATCCGTCTGCTCGTGCCCCCGATAAGACTGATTCACCAACACCGCAAAGTGACCACCGGAGTGGTATCTCGTTCGTACCACATAAACATAAAATGTCCATGTCACAAGCGCAAGGGCAGAGACAGATGCTGCGACTTGAGACTTACTCCCTACCTCAATGGTGCTCCGGTCAATCTCAGCCCCGAGACCCTCGAATCCTGGTCCTAAGCCCGTCGAAAAAGAAGTAAGACCTAGACAGGTTTGCAATCTTGGTGAACTGGTCCTGCAAACTCATATGCTGCTGGGTACATTATACCGTGACTATATCGATGATCAAGGGATATGATTATACCATATAGTTGCCGTATGCCTACATAAATAAGACGTTTCTACATACTTACTCTTACTATATAACTGCTAGTGAAAAATAAATGTAAAATCATTACTTGATTGCCTAATACTATTCCCGCGAAACCTCCCGAAACCTCATGGAACACTCATGGAACCCTCAAAAAGACCCCTGAGTCCAGCGCTAGGGTCTCCACCGCCGTCTCCCCCGCGGGCTTGACGCCTTTGTTTGGGGCGTTGCGTCCCTAAAGGCGCCTAACTTTTGGGGATTAGGGCTTAAGGCCTCCCAAAGCCCTAATCCCACAAAAACCCAAAACCAGCCCTAAATGCTCACCCTGCTTCTCCTAGCTTCTGAATCCCAATTCGTCACCCCGAAGAGACCGCTCAGAGGATACACTTGCATGTCGAAGGAACGTACAAGAAGAACCCCAGGAGGAGAAAACGAGTGCTTGTCGGGTTTCATAAGGATCTAGCATGGGCTTCACAGGTTTTCTGGGGTCTTGTAACGGTTTATAGTCGAAAACAGATAGACTCTATCCTTCCGCCAGCGGGAAATACCCCGGTTGGCGGTTATCAGATTTCCAATCCTACTGACTACTGACTGCGGGGTTGAAACCTTAAACATTAGCAGGATCCTGAATACAATTCGATGTGTACTCCTGGAGCACAAGGGGTAGGATATCTTAGTGTCTTGAAAGCTAAATCTAAGTTACATTTACCCGAAGCCTCCTGATCCCGCAGCCCTTTGCCAAATGCCCTGGGTCTCCTGCTACGAGCTCTCTAAACTCGGGTCTCAGTCCTTACGAGGTTGACGGAGCACTCTTTCGGGGCACAACGGCGCTCGGAAGCATCCTGATCGTGAGGGCAAGCCATCCCATCAGTTCGCTCAAACCCATTTAGGAGCTTGGGCCCCCGGTTTCCACGGTTTTTATGGATCTATGATGGATTTAGGGTATTTGGAAGGAGAGCATACATTTGAGAAGACCATGACCCCGAGAGAAAAGCCGATGTCAGGCAAAGGCTCCGCAGCATCCTTTTCGACCCTTTGGCAGTTAGCGCTGCGTCGCGGCGTCTCAGGGCTTACTGAGTACTAGTGATCATCACGGCAGTAATACTAACAACAATCATCATGGTCAGAAAACGAACAATAGTAATAAGAATAATTGTAACAAAAAGAATAACAAAATGAAAGTAATCCTCAAAGCAACCATGAGTAACGAAGTAACAATACTACCCTGCATAACAAAACTCTTTGAAGAATTGAGTATCAGGAAGAACGATAAAACTACTAATACTAATGAAAACCATTTTCAGAAATTGTAATGATAGTAGTTGTAATAGTAGTACTCGTAGTCGTAGTCGTTGTAATAAAACTAGTACCAGTACCAGTACCAGTACCAGTACCAGTAGTAGTAGTAGTAGTAGTAGTAGTAGTAGTAGTAGTAGTAGTAGTAGTAGTAGTAGTAGTAGTAGTAGTAGTAGTAGTAGTAGTAATAGTAGTAGTAGTAGTAGTAGTAGTAGTAGTAGAAGAAATAACAATACTTATTATAATTTATAATCGCAGTACTACTGATAACAGTGATATGTAGTATCAACAATATTACTTGCAAATTTGGAGTGCTACCGGAGTTTGCGCCACGTGGAAGCCAACCAAGGCTGCAGATGCCTTGGCTTTCCTGAGCCGTTCTTGCATACTGCGCTTTATTGAAATCCAAAGGTACGGTTGGGGTTTAGGGTTTAGGGGTTTAGGCTGTACTATACTATGACAAATTCAGCAAGTTCTTGTCAAGAACGTCCGAGTTTCCTGGCGGTCTGTAGAAGTGCCCCATCTCCTCGAAGCCGGCCTTCTTCATAAGCTCGGCATAGGTCTCGTAGCATAAGTAATATCCATACCTACCTGAGAGGGCTGAGAGTTGAGGGATGTTTAAGCTTTAGGTTGAGCTCCAGTTTCAAAGTTGGGGCTCCCGAATATAGAGTCCATAATGAGGGCATCCTTATCCCAAGTCCTACGTGAGGTACGCCGACTTTTTCTGAAACTCCAACCTGAAAAATTTTCGGTGTCCTCATCGCCTCGAGGGTTGGAGGAGAACAAGATGCCACCCGGAGCAAGAGCATCGTGCAGAGTTGACAAGACAGCCGGCAGGTGTGTCCTGTACACGTGGAAGAGGGAAGCGTTGGCAAAGATGCCATCAAAATAGGACTGGGGCAAGTCCAGTTTGTGGAAGTCCTGGTGCAGCACCTCCGCCCCGGTGTACTCCCGGGCCATGCGTACAAACTCTTTACTTGCGTCAAGCCCAGTGACTTTCATACCGAGGGACTGGAAGTAGGCAATGTCTCTACCGGGGCCACAGCCAAAGTCCAACACCGTCCTGCCTGCCAGCGGCTGCCCCATAGCGGTCAGCAGGGCATCGCGGTTTTGGCTCACGTCGTGGTCCTTGGTTCCTTCCCAGAAAGAGGCAGCATTCTGGTCATAGTGGCGAATGGTGGAAAGCACCATGGCCTCCCATTGCTCCATCTCTGGGGTGTGCGGCATGCTACTCATCTGCTACTGTGCACTTTGTCGGCTGCAGGATGCTGCCTCTGACTAAGTGTCGGCATGCTGAGAACAAGGCTTGCGTGTCTCAGCCCCGAAAGGCCGTCTGTCGCGACTTGAGATAGAAATCGTGTGCACGCCGCTGCACTTCGGCTATGTCAGATGTCACAGCTTCATGCTTCGACTGTGGAAAGCCAACCGGTCTGTCCCTGACATACTAAGGCCTCGCGTACTGGCCAGGCTCATCCCTTCAGATGGCATTGAAGTGGAGCTGTGCCCATCTGCTTAGAAAGCCTAAGCCCGAAACCCGATCCGTCAACCCTGAACCAAGGCCCTTAACCTTAATTACACCCTAAACCCTGAACATTAGGCCCTTCGTGTTTGACAAGATACCGAGCTCCAAGAGATGTTGCGCCATCTCCGTTTCGTCGTTTTCTGCGGCATACCTCCAGCGAACAGGGTTTAGGGTTTAGGGGTTTAGGGTTTAAGGTTTACGGGTTCATGGTAGCAAGCTACGACACGAACCCTTTAACACTAAACGCTGAGCCCTTCATAACACCCGACCCTTCACCATGAAACATAAACCTTGAACCCGAAACCCTGAACCCCAAACCCTCTAAAGCCTCAACTCGAAACCCCAAACCCTCCAAAACCCCTCAACCGCAAACTCTAAACCCGAAATAGTGGCCCTGAACCTTGAACCCTGGATCCTAAAATCTGAATTCTTCTGAACCTACAAGAGAGGAGCCCAAACGGCTGATGTAGGGGCCTTGGCAAATGCAGAGTTCAAAGGTTCGAGAAGGGTTTAGGGTTTAGGGTTCTTTTGATATAGGGGCCTTGGTAGTTAGAATAGAATAGGGTGTTGGGGTAAGTTCGAGTAACATTCGATAAGGACTCTGATGGAATACCGTTGTTAATTATTCCGACTCCTCTGTGAGATAGTTGGAACAGCGGCTTTGGTTTTTTGCGTAGGGTTCGGGGCTTCATCAGGGATTCAATACTCCGACTTCCGAACGAACCGCTCGAACCGCTTCCACGAAGCCCGAACTCTCAAGAACATATCCAAGCCAGGCCCACATGCACCGCGCGTGGGTGCATAAGTGATTTACAGCACATGAGGGATGGTGGTGCGTCTGGCAACTCGGAAACCACCGACTGATTAAACATCAAGACCACAGGAGCGCTATATCATGAAAACCAAGACAAACGGGAACCCCGAAAGCCACTTTGTGTGTCTTTGTCTACATCGGTGCATTCCCTTGGGGTACATGTAGTTGTGTACGTACATGCGAAAAAAACTGTACATACGCATGTACATCTGAACGCTACATGTACGTATATAGGAATGTGTGTCTGCACGTATGTCCGGATGAACGCATTCATGCACGACCAGACTGCCTGTCTGGCTGTCTGGCTGTCTGACTGGCTGAATATACGCAATTCCACACATGTCCATCTGTCTGTCTGTCTGCCAGCCTGCCTGCCTGTGTGCAAGCGATGTATGTACGTCTGCCTGTCTGTCTGCCTGTATGTACATCCATCTGTATGTATGTATCTGAATCTGCATGCATGCCTCTTTGCATGCCTGCATGCATGCATGTATGCCTATACGTATGTGTATATATATATATATATTTATTTATTTATTTATTTATTTATTTATATTTATATTTATCACATGTGCACGGTTGTATTTCTGCCTGCATGTATTTTTGTATGTATGTACATATGTCGGCCTGTCTGTATGTATGCATGTATGTACAACTGTATGTATGTATGAATATACGTATGTGTGTCTGCTTGCAAAAGAGGGAGATAGAGAAAAGAGAGAGAGAGAGAGAGGAAACAAACACATCTGTATTGACACGTGTTCCACCTCGGGCTAATTACCATAGATCTCCGACACCCCCCCCCCCTCAAATTGAACAGGCAATGCAACCTATCTCCCCTAGACAATGCTGTTACTCAGAAACCCTGAATCGCTAACTCTAAACCCTAATCGAAATCCAAGTGTGGGCAGGTCACCAGTAGGCGTTGCGACCTTTGAGATCTAAAGACTGCAGATTCGCACGCTTCCTGAGTCATAAGGGTCAGGGTCTGAGTGTATACAGGGCTGAGTCTGAGTGTAGTTCAGGGTTTTAAGTTTAGGATGTAGGATTTAGGGAGTTTGCGGGTTTGGGTTTGGTGGTTGAGTGGCTTGCTTTTTCGGGTTGTTTCTGGAGTTGGGCCCAGGGTCGGGGCAAACGTGACCAGGAGTCGAGTTTCAGTGCAGCTTCTTTTGAAGGGCTATGACTCTGGCATCGTGCAAATATTCTAGAACAACCCAAACACGAGACCCCTCGCCTTGTAACACTCCCAAAATCAAAAACGGAGCATACTTCAGAACACCCCCAACCCTTAAACCCTTACGGCTCCCTACAATAGGTCAGCAACACCAAAAGCAGCTACACGCAGAGGCTGTGGACAATTCCAAGGGGGCCGTGGCGTTCCAGCTAATCTCTTTCAAGTTGGATGTGTTGTGGGCTCTGGGCGTTTGGGGTGTGTTTGAGCTCGTTTGAAGACTTCAGGGTGCAAGGTTGGCGATGCAGTCAATTCTTTACGTTCCAATAAGCTAACACGATTTTGCTGCACCCTGTAGGGTTGGGGCGATAAGGCACTATGCGGTCTCATGACATAGAATGCTGTAACGGAAATCATAACTTTAAGAGTGGGCTGAGCAGTACAGGCTTTGTCATGGCTTTGGACCAGAGTCTCAAAGGAAGCCCACCTCTGTACTCCCTGTAGGCTGTCGCGAACGCTTCAGAGGCTCAAGCTAGGATGCATAAATCACGACTAAGGCTTGTTGGCATGTGTCACCTTGCTAATGAAAAGAGAGAGGAGTTCTGCGGATTTTTTGAGGCAGCTGCAAAAGAAGACGGTACGGCTCCGGCTGTAGGGTGCTTACTCAAACACCGCGTGCCTGCTCAAACATTCCACATGTTCTCAAGCTGAGGCACTCGATCAGGAAGTCAACAACATGCACCTTGCCCCCACTGAAACCCCCCTGCCCTACGCCCTCCCGAGATAACTGAGTTGTCCTTTAAGCCCTTCGAAAATTATTTACTATTATGGTCCTAAGACCTAAACCCCTTCCGAAACCAGATAAACCCTAAACCCTTAGGATGAGAGCGGGAGTCTTCGGGAATGGGTTTTGTGCACGGAACCAGAAGTTAAAGCCCGCCCAACACGGCCATTAAAATTAGAACATGCAAACTTCAGCTGAAGAAACTCCCATGCAAAGACCTTAGTGGCTCGGTTCTCCCAGAACTCATGGGACCGGGTCCAAGGGTTTAGGGCGAAGAGCTAGGCCTTGGTTTTAGATTTAGGTTCTCTTTGGCTCCTGTTAAAGTCCTTTGTTTATGAGGGTGCCATAACACTTCGGGGACCTGAAAAGGGACCGTAACTCAGAGAACTTCCCTTCCAGTATACCTCTATAGAAACCCTTCTAGATCCCCTTAAAAAACCCTAAAGTACCCTTATAGAAAATTTAGAGACCCCCTCTAGATTCCTTTAATGACCCTAAACCCTAAAACCCAAGCCCAATAAGAAGGAAGAACCCGTAGACGGAGGGGAGCCCTGAAGTCGCGCCTCGCCGCGCGAGGCTGCCATGACCATGGCCGAAACGCCGTGCCTTCTCGGACTGGACGGAAGTTTAGGGTTTAGGGTTTAGGGTATAGGGGGGCTGGCTGAGTACCCGAGCCCAAAAATGCTTAACCTTGTCAATTTGGGGTAGGTTTACTATAAACCCAAAAGGTTGAAGGTTACCTACTCAGCTACTGAGGAGACTTCCTGGAGGGGGCTGGAATACGGCCGTAGTAGGGTTTAGGGCTACAGATGGGGCTGTAAGGGGACATTCCTATCGAATTGTCCGCCTAGTCCTTTCATTGCTGGGAATGGCAGGTTACGGTTTAGGTGTAGGGCTTGGGGCGTTTGGAGTTGACTGCTCAGACCTTTTGGGGTCTAGGTGTAGATTTAGGTCGTTGGGTTAAGAACGTAAGGAATTTTGGGGTTCCTCTTCGGGCTCTGCGAGCCCCATGGAACGAATTGAACTGCTTGAACTCATTCAACCACTGTAGCTAGCTAACTTACATGTACCCCGCCTGTAATCTCCCAAAAGAAGCCCTAAACCCTAAACCCCTAAACCCAAAAACCCTAAACCCTAAACCCCTAAACCCTGAAACCCTAAACCCTAAACCCCTAAACCCTAAAACCCTTAACCCTAAACCCCTAAACCCTAAACCCCTAAACCCTAAACCCCTAAACCCTAAACCCCTAAAACCCTAAACCTTTAAACCCTAAACCCCAAACCCCTAAACCCTAAACAGAGCGCTGGCAGGCCAAGAGGCTCGTCGCAGGTCTCGAGGCTCGCCGCCGCCTCGAGCAGGCGCCTCAGCAAAGCTCGGGTTGCAGGGCCTTTTGTGGAGGCGGGTGAAGTCTTCTCTTTTCCATACAGAAGGCGTCGTTGCTGTCCGTGAAATTCACTTTTCCTGGTGGTGCGTTCTTTTTGCTGTTGCTTCGTTGGCTTTCGGGCTCATGGGCTTGTTTTTGTGGTACTCATCAGTGTCATGAATGGAGTCTAGGGCTTTAGGGCTAGGGTTCGGGGAAAGGATTCAGGGTTTAGGGTGTAAAGGGTTTGGGAGTAGAGCAGGCATTTCAGGGCTTCCAGGAGACGTACTTCTATACGGGATTGTCTAGCCGCTGGGCCTATAAACAATCGACCCGAACCCCAAACACGAAGAGCTTACAGGTTCGGGATTTCAGGCCGAGCTTGGGGTGATTTCTGGCTGAGGAACTGAGGTCGGTGACACAGGTTTTAGGGTTTAGGGTTCAGGGCTTAGGGTTGAGCTCGGTTACACCGGACCAAAATCTTCAACCGTTCAAAATCCTAACCCCTAAACCCCCAAGCCACCGAACTGATTGAAAGCCGGAAGGGGCTTTAAGCTTTTGCTCCCGGGTCTGATCCCTAACTTCCCTAATCCCTACGGAAATCCCGTGGTCTGTACCCCTACCCTAGACCCCGAACCCCAAACAAACCATAAACCTCTAAACCCCTAAGACCCTAAAGCCAACCCAACATGCATCTGCAGTAGGGTTGCTTGTTGCCAGTATCCCAGTAACAACACCCAATATAGAGCCGTATCCCAGCCACCAAAACACTGCACGTGAACCCACACCAAACATGTCTCAAACCCGAATAGAACCCGTATGGTACCGTTTGCCGAGAGCACCAACCTAGCATCTGACATCCGAACCACTGAATCCTGAACCCAAAAGCCGAATTCGATAACCCTGAACCCTAAACACTACGTCCTAAACTCTACATCCTACCTGCTCACCCCTCATTAAACCCGACACCCGTAAACCCTGAATCTGAAAATCGGACCCTGAATCCCCAAACCCATGTAAACCTGGAACCCTAAACCCCAACATTCCTCCGAGGCACTGCACCACGGGAAGATGCCCGTCGGCGGCCGCACGCCACCTTCGAGCCCAACGTCTCACCCACGCTTCAGGGAAAGAGGTAAGTCTACGAGTCTAGGGTATAATTTACGGGTTTAAGTTTTTGGTAATAGAAAGTGTCTCGGCTTTTCAAGCGCATTAAAAAGGAGTCAGAAGAGCTTTTGGCCTTTTGGCTTTAGTCAGGGCTGCAGACGACAGCTTGCCGAAGCCCTAAAGCACCCCGGAAACCCAAAAGCAAGCTAAGCCCGCGCGTACGGAACCCCTTATAGAACAGTTCTCGGAACCCGCAATCAGCTCTTATGAAACGCTTCTGGAGCTCTTTCAGCGAGGTGCAGAGCGCTTTGCCCAAACATGTCCGTGCCGTTCACCTGGGAGCTGTGGGACTTTGACTTTTGAGTTCCGTTTGGGTTTGGCGGCCCTTGAGGGCATCCGACGAGGTCCCATGAAACCCTCTGCCCGAAGATAGAAGCCTAAAATAATTTGAAAAAAAAGTGTTTCTGGCCGAGTTGTATGTGGTTCATTCATTCGTTCATTCTTACATATACATCTCCATGTACATATACAAATACATATGCATATTAACATGCATTAACATAATTACATACACATATAGTGGCATCTGCTAGGGAAGCCACACATGTCTAGGCAGTACTGTAGCTCGGTGATGTGGCCCTCATTATAGTATAGTAAGTAACCCTATTAGCTGAGTTCCCGAGGCTTCCAAAGATCAACCTCTAATTTTGGCAAGATATTTATTATCTACCCCAGTCGGTCACAGGCCTATTCGGATAGCAGGTAGCCCGTCCCCCCACCCCGCCGCCCTCCAACAAAAACACAAAAGAACTCAAAACGAGTTACATCTGCCCGCGCTCCCAGCAAGCTTTCGATGATCGGCAGGCTTCCAACATGGGCTGCCAAGCCCAGGGCGTGGCGGTGCGTCCGATCTGCCTGAGCTCAGGGCTGTAGGGACATTAAACCCCAAAGCCGGTGATAAGGGTGGCGGGTATATGGATTTGGTTTTCAGATTTTTGGCTGTGGCAGTTTCCGGCTTGGGATACAATGTGGCAAAACCCGGTTATTGACAGTGAGGCTGATGGCGCTGACAAAAGATGAGGACGATAACGCTGCTGATGACGATCACAACGACAAGGAAGAGAAGGAGGACAATGGGCTGCTGAGCACACATGATCTGGTGCTGCTGGTGCTGGTGGTGCTGGTGGTGCTGGTGGTGCTGCTGGTGCTGCTGGTGCTGCTGGTGCTGCTGGTGCTGGTGGTGCTGGTGCGGGTGGCGGTGCCGGCGGTTGTGGTGGTGGTGGTGGGGCTGGTGGGGGTGGTGGCGAATTCAACGTCGTCATCGTCACTGCCGAAACCTTCCTAATAGTCGTCCGTGCCCTGGTCACGGCAGTGGATCCACTCGTCGTAGTTGTGGCAGCAGCAGTAGCCAGGATGACAAATATACATGCGCTTCTCGACCTTGCTGACAAGATGACGTTGCAAAGTGCAGTCCGAGGAATACGATAAAGGCTCTAGAGTGAGGGTTCTATGATACAGGGGCCGTGATAGTTAGAATAGGGTTTAGACGCATCCTAGAATGGAACTAAAGCATAGGTATGACTACAGCAAGGAGCCCCAAAGCGTAGCATGTTCAACTGCTCAGGCTCATAGAGCCCTCGCTACTGAACCCAGCATGCTTACACAACACGCTCTTAGCGCAGCCCCCGGCCCAAAAGCACATAGTTCCCCAAATTAGAGTCCCTTGCGCTATGGATTCCCGTGGCTGTCTTAGGGCAACAAGGGCCCAAGCCGGACGCTAACATGGAGAACTCGAAGCCCTCACAAACTCCGAGAGGCCTCGTCCAAACTGGCATTTGCCTGAGTATGGGTTTTAAGTATTAAGGAATTTAGAAGCCAGTCTTCCCTGCTCAGGGAGGGCACAACCGAGTCACATAGGTTTGTAGTACTACTGGGTTATGAACGATTGAAGTCATTGCAATCGTAGGGGTCTGATGTAGGAGCCTGAATTATTACCCATATCATCCCTTACGGCTCCTTATTGGAATCATACTTCGCTATAGCCCCAGGCGCCCGTAGATAAGGGTCTAGAGTCTAGGCACCTGTGTAGGGCTTCGAGATCATGTCTAGACCGCCAAAACCAAGCGCATCAATCACTGATGTGGGTGGTGGTTTCCAAATTATGGTCCCTTTTTGGGACCGTATGTCAATACGGCACTTAATATTAAGGGTACCCAAAAAGGGACCCTAATATTGACAGTCTCAAACCTTGAAGCCCCAAACCTTAAACCCAGAGAAAACCGTGAACCGCGTGATTCTATTGCGGCAAAAACCCTAAACCACACTAACACAGGGGTCTTTGTAGAGTCTAGCTCAGGGTTCTGTAGCAGTAGTAGCTGTAGCAGAAGCAGTAGTAGTAGTCGTTGTCGTAGTATTTGTTGTTGTTGCTGATGCTGATGCTGTTGTTGATGTTGGTGCCTCGTGGCAGCAGCAGCAGCAGCAGCAGCAGCAGCAGCCGCAGCAGCAGCAGCAGCAGCAGCAGCGGGAGTAGTAGTAGTAGTAGTAGTAGTAGTAGCAGTAGTTGTTGTAGTAGTTCTAGTAGTTGTAGTAGTTGTAGTAGTCGTCGTAGCAGTAGTGGTGGTGGCAGTGGTAGTAGTAGTAGTAGTAGTAGTAGTAGCAGCGGTAGTAGAGAGCAGGGTAGGGTGATTGGCAAGCACGGTGCTTCGGACTTTGGGCCCTCTTGAGTCCAGAGTTCCTGACTTTGTGACTTTGTAATGTGCTGACAGTTTAGGGTTTAGGGTTCAGGGTTTAGGGTTGTGCTGACAGTGGCAATTCTGCTACTTGGGTCCTAGATTCAGGAAAGCCTTCTTTTCCAACTTCCTAGTATACGGGCCTTAATAATTAGAACAAGGTTTTGGGGCCCATTACACTACGATGATAAGAGTAAGCCCTAAACCCTTCGAGCTCTGTGCCTCCAGAAGGGTCCTCACCACTTCTGCAGCTGCATCTTTGTGGGCGGGGAAGTCAGAAAGGTTACCTGAGCTTGGGCGTTGGGTTTATGATTTTGGATCTTGTTTAAACATGGTTGCGGATTTAGGGTTTCGGTCTTGGGATTAATTCAGACCTCGGATTGACACAACTGCATTTCCGTAATGGCTGCGAGTCTCTCGGTATTCTTAGCTTCGTTTGCCGGCTCATCGTGATCACGGTTCTTCTGCACCATATATGCGAGAGCTTACTAACACAAGAGCTCCAAACACTACCCTTTTGCCGAACCCTGGACCTTCCTTCGAGCCCTGAGCCCCAGGAAGCCCCCGCTCGTACGCGCCGTCGGATTCCAAAATAGCCCCGACTGCGACTCAGGACTCAGTGGGAGCTGATCTTTCGAGCCTCGAAAATATGGGCCGTAATAGTTCGAGTAAGGTTCCTCTAAGGTTCTTTAGATGGTTCCCATATGGGAGCCTTCATGGCTAGCACATGGTCGTGAGGGTATACTGCATGCCACTGTCTACCAGGATCAGAAAGGGCATTGCAACTAAGCTTTCCGACCACTCTTCTTTTTACTTTCTCTTTCCGCAGCCCTAAAGCAACTTTAAAGCCCAAATGGTCGACACCCGAAACTCAGAGATGGGAAGACACCACTGAACCTGGAGTTGAGGGTTGAGGCGTTAGCGCTTAGGGAGGCTTGCGGTTTTTAGGGCTTAGACCTGTCTAGTGATAGTGGGTGACGAGACGCAAAGGCACGCCATCAGAGCCGTGCAGCCCTTCACGTCCTTTGAAGGACTTGCTGAACCCTGGATGGAGAAGAGTTGCTAGCACCACCACCACCACCACCACCAACACCGCTGCTGCTGTTGCTGCTACTGCTACAGCCACCGTTGCTGCGACTGCCGCCGTCACAGCCGCTGCCACAGCTACTTCTACTTCTATTGCTGCTGCTGCCGCTTTCATGCTATACTGCTATACTATACCGCTAAACTGCTACGCCGTTATGCCACTGTGCCGTGCCGCTCTGCCAATAGGTGCCTACCGCTGCGGCCACGCCTGCTGCTGGTGCTACTACGACTACGACGACGACTGCCTTTTCGCCACGTTCCACGACCACGAAGACAACTGCGACTCTCCCCTTACCAACCCTGCTTCTGCTACATGGCTACGACAACTTCTGCCATTAGTACTCTTACTAGGCTACTACGATACTCTGCCAGAGCTGTATATGTGTATGTGCGCTTGTTGTCAGCAGAAACACGCGTCTCTATCTCTCGCTCTCTGTGTCTCTTTCTTTCCTGCTTGCTTTACTGCTTTCTTTCTCGAGGCCTCACTTTGCCTCCCTCGCCTTTCTTCAGCCAGAACTATTACTGCATTTCAGACAGACCGGAAGCCTTGTTGAGCCTAATTGACCGCGGCTAGAACAAAGAAGGCTTCAGTCATGTTTATGCAAAGCCTATCTGGGCGAAAGGAGCTGGGCAGCCAATTAACCAGAACAAAGCAAGCCAAAGCCCCGTCCCTCGAACAAGCCCGCCGTCCTTGATGTCCACATCCGCCTTTGCACAGACAAGGAGTCGAACCGCCTCTTCATCACAGCCGCCGCTGGCGCAGATCAGAGCCGTCCGGCCGAAGCAGCTCGTCTTGCTGACGCTGGCTCTGGCCTCGAAAAACCAGGATGCAGTTTGGTTCACTTCGGTAATTCGGTAGTCAGCCTCTTCCAGCCCCTAGTCCAGACATATATAATATACAGTACCCCTTAAGTCATCCCTATGACCATTGCAACTGAACCCGAACCACCTCCAGGATTAGACCTTAGCCCGACACTTTGGCTACTGCTACTGCTGCTTCTACTAATTAAAACCATAGTAATACTCATACTTACTACTACTACTACTACTACTACTACTACTACTACTACTACTACTACTACTACTACTACTACTACTACTACTACTACTACTGCTACTGCTACTGCTACTGCTACTACTACTACTACTACTACCACCACCACCACCACCACTGCTACTACTAGCCCAGCCACAACACATATAACAAAACTCTTTGCCAAGTTAACGCAGCGACTTTCACGAGTGGGAGTAATAGTTGCTTAAGCACGGCCGGGTTACTGATGATATGTCCCATGATCCTCGCGGCGAAGGCGCGGAAAGTAAGAATGTGATAAAGATATATGTGACCCAAGAGAGGTGATGAGATGAGCCGTCAGCGGCACCGCTCTTAGGCGACTGACGGAACAATCTGAAACGACTTTAAAGGCTGCAAGCCAAGTGCTACCACACCGATGATGGAAGCAACATTACAAGAATCGAAGCCAAGTCACAATTTGAAGAGCTAGCTTCATGCACGATTCACATGCAGGCAAGCAGCAATACTGTTAAGACTGTGAGACAGCAACCCCAAATGCACCTCCAGCAAGTGACGAACAGCAACGACCCGGCCATTCTCAGCAGCTTCATGGAGCGGGGTGCTGCCTCACCATCACAGTCTCTCAGAGCTTGGGATTTGGTGCTTCGTGGAAGCATACAAACAGTACTGAACGCTTGGAAGATTGCCGCACCAAGGTTTGAAGATGAAGGCTCAAATTTCGAAACGATTGCGGACATGCCAACTCTGAAAGCATTGCTGGCAACTCCATGAGGGCTCCCTACCCATGTCGTGCGAAGCTCGTGGTGTTCGACTCCCTTCGGTTGTCTGTTTCTGCGGACCTTAGACGAAATGCATGATATGCTGAAAACCCGTCCATACATGCATGTAAAGGTTTGAACATGTACGTATATCAACAAGAAACGGTAATTCAGAATACTGACTAAACTAATGCTACCACTCGCACGCCTGAGACCTTCCACATGAAAGCAAGCTCCTGTCGTAAAAACGCTGAGGAAACAAAACAGAATGGTCTCAGCGCTCCGAATGGAGGTGGGATTTGGGATGGATGCGTTTGTCGGATCTGGCCTTCCAGGATGTTCAGGTTTAGGGTTTGCGGGCTGTGAGCATTTTGGTTTTTGTGCTTCCGGTCTTCCGGTTTTTGGAGTCGCGCGTTGTCCTCAAAACCGAAAATCAACCGCCCCCAAACTGTGTAGAAATGCAGAAGACCAAGTTGCGAAGGCTGCTGTGCACCGCATCTGTGTTTGCGTGCGCCAGAAGCAGAAGCCGCACCGCCTCCCGTCACTACGTCGCTGAGAAGGGACCAGCTCACCAAACAAAACTAAAGAAACCTTAGTATTACCTTCATTGTTGTTAAATTACATAGATCATATATAGAGATGTATAAGTATATGGATCTATATATATATATATAATCATTGTTGTTATGCTTGGTCTTTGGCATTTGGGGTCTTAGCGTCAGGCCTCAGAGTGCCCACGTCCTGCAGCAGCCCACCTTGGATCAGAGGAAGCGCTTCAGGAACTATACGGATGTGAAAAGGTTCGCGTGCCGCCATCCGGCACTCGGCATCTCAAACAGGCAACCGTCACAACTCGTGCAACATGTGATCCGAAATTCCACGAAGCAAAAGATTGATTAATGAAGAAGCAGGAGCAGCATCTACAAAAAAAGAAACATGACAGCTGCATTGCAGATAGAACTAGTCCTAATAGTAGCAAGTAGTAGGTGCACGGCGGTATGAAATTACACAGTTCCATAACTAGTCTAGGTGGTATACTGAAAACTGAGGTAGTGCGAAAACACTGGTCAACCCAGAAAGGACAAGCGCCAAAGCATCATTCTAGGAGTGAGTGAGGATGGGACTGGCCGTAGCATCAAACAAGAGAAGCATTGGCAACATTAGGATAGCCATCATCCTGATCGAGGTGGCATCGAAACACAGATGGGGCTGGGGGAAAGCTGACAAGCATCAGGGCAAGAACATACGTAGCATCAATAACAAGTAACATCAGGTCGTGGCCGGGTAGTCTTGCCATGAAAGCAATCCCAGCCACAATGCCGGCGCTGTGGGGCCAAAGGGGGCAATGTACGCGTCTTCCTGGTCACGAACCCAGGATGGGCATGGTTCGGGCTTATCGCGTTCAACAGAAAACAAGTTCTTTGTTTACTCTGGTGGGCGATCACTATGCTTTAGCTCTAGTGCACAGTGAAGCCAACGTTCTTGATCATGACAGGGCTTGGCAAAACCAAAACCCTACACTGCCTTACACCCCATTATGCCTAAAACCTAAACCTTGAACTCGACGATCCTGCGCATGCCATAAACTGCAACCCATGAGAATGATGTTGCTAACTCCAAAGGTCGAAGCAAGAAGGATCAGGTCAGAGGAGCCCACTGCTCACAAACCATCGCCACCGCCGTAAGCACCACCGTGATTGCAAGCATCGCCATCATCGCCATCGTCAATAACATCACCATCTCTAAGGTGACAAGCTCATCAGCACAACTCTCGTCGCCGCAGCCGGGGCCATCATCGACACCATCACCTCCATCTGGTCTCGAGCCTCTGCAGTTGCCTTCACTGCCACAGCCATCATCAGAACCATCAAACCTCAACCTTAACTAAGCCCTACTTCACTCTGCATTTGGCGGGGCCTCCTCCTCTTCCTCCTCCACCTCCTCCTCCTCCTCTCCCTCCTCCTCTTCCTCTGTGCCAGTCTCGTCGTCATCGCTTTGAAAACTGACCAGCACATTGGGGTCCTGCGCGATCTAGAGGTCAGCTTATACGGTCCAGGTCCTGCTTAGCGTTTAGGAGTTTGGGCGGGCTTCGGGCTTGCAAGAGTCTAGACTTCAGTGTTTGTGGATTTGACAGGAACGCTGTGGGGTGGGTGAATATGTGGGATGGCTCCTTTGCGTCCGGCCATTCCTGCAACCGAGCACTCGATTCGATAAGCTGCCTAACGTTCACCGCTGCAGTGCAACATCCGAGACAACCACATGGCCTAAACCCCAAGCCCTAAGGCAAAAGCCGAAAGGCTAATCCCCTGTACAAACTCCTACACAACCCTGAAGCCGTACTATGGTTGCCGGTCCTGGGGCAGCTCTAAGATGCGGAGGAGAGACTCCACGTTTCCTAGGCCGGTGATTCAGACGCCCAGGCCTAAGGTTCAGGGCTTTAGGGCGTTTGAGGCTTCGGGGTCCGAGTTTGCAGCTTAGGGTTTCGGGCTTTGTAGCTGGGCCCGGGGCTCTCTCTAGGGTGCAGAGCTCTCAGGCAGGACCTCAAACCGCCGGCTCCTAAAACCAAGCCACATTAGGGTTTAGGGTTTAGGGTTTAGTATGAGCCTCAGCATCGGTAATAGTATTGGTATGAGTATTCGTATATAAGTATGAGTCCGACCTAAAAACTAGACGCGCAGGGCGGCCAGCTTCCGCGGCGTTCCAGAGAGCTTTGGCCTGCGCGGGCTTGACTTGGGGTTTAGGCTTTAGGGGCTTTTTGGGCTTTAGGGCTTCAGGGTTCAGGGTTTAGGGTTGAGGGGCTTTGGGGCTTTAGGGCTTCAGGGCTGTAATATTGGGTCCTTAATAATTAGACAAGGGCTTTGGACCCATTATACTATACTTGTAACAAGGAACCCCCAAAATGGTATAGATAATTATTTAGGGCCCTACAGGGTTTTAAGAACCCGAAACAGCACCCAACGCAAGCACTCAGGATTGAACAGCTTAGATCTCAGGATCAACACGCCCCCGAAACCCCAAACCCCACAGTGTTTCAGGCAGAAGGACCTGCGCACGACTGCGGCGGGAAGGTGAGACTTTAGGGACTTCGAGTACTTTGAAGGCACTGAGCACGGGACTGTGGCAGGAGCACGACTTAAATACGCAGAGCACTGTGCTGGTAGCGCGGTTCGAAAGTCTTGGATCTTACAATGCATTCGGGAAAGTGGACAGAACACAGTTGTAGTCGATATTGGCACTGCATCATTCGAATCGATGTCGAGACACCAATATTAAACCGAAAAAGCGGACCCCAAATTATGGATCCGAAACACTAGGAGTCTGACTATACTTACTTCCCCTGAAGCATGGGCCCAGAGCCTAAGAAGCTGAACTCAAACCGTGGAGGCCTTTTTCTCACAGTACTCCAGCACCACGACCTGATGCAAGAGGGCAAACCCCAAAACCTAAATGAGTATATATATATATATATATATATGTATACATATAGAATATCATACATACATACGTACATACATACATGCATGCATGCATACATATATACCTGTATATAATGTCTTATGCTGTGTACATATATATATATATCTTTACACACGCATACATGCATACATACATACGTACATACCTACATTCATTCCTACTTACCTACCTACCTACATACATACATACATAGACACATACGTACACATGTGCGTACATATAGTTATCTATACATGTGAACATACAGATACAGATATGGACAGGGACATAGATGTAGACATTGACATAAATACAGATACATCTTTGTAACAAGATGGGCCCTTGCTGTCCTGAACTCTCACGTGCATCCTGCTGGCTTCGGGCAGTACGGGCCTGAGATCCTCGAGAACAAAGCTACTCGTCATGCCTGTAAAGTTAAGGGTTTCAGGGGTTTTTCAGCTACCATAACTAGTTTTGCAGGTCGCTATTATAAACCAAAATATACCGGACCTTTGCTGCACTCCGCAGACCGACAGCACCGCACGACCGAACCGCGCCTCCACCTTCAACCCCTCCACCCCGCCAACCATCCACCCATCCACCCATCTTCCCCCCATGCCGACCCTGCACCCTAACCAAGACGAGCATCAGCAGTATAGCAAAAGCTTTGAACCCCAAAATCACGCCCCTGCCTTGCCTGCAGATTCTCGGGGCAAGCCAGGTCCTGCGCTGGTGTATCGGCAGATTGGCTATGAGTAGACACCAACTGATAGGGTTTCCTTAGAGCAGTGAACACTGGTAACCAGCAAACTCTACGACTTAAGCCAGCATCAAATCACCTACAAAGGACCCAGATTGCACAATACCCACTAAATCAGGGTTACACCTAAACTCATGTCCAAGATGCCTCTACGAATTACATGATGTAGCTTGTTCAGCGCGGGAGCGTGATTCAACAGCCCTTGTCCCCAGTCCTCCAAGTTAGATCACCCTTGATAAGAACCCCCTTAAGAAACATCGATACCCAATGCATTGATCAAAATCCTCGAGACCCTTGAATTGCCCCAGGTTTAGAGATTTATTTCTGGGCTGATTGAGCTATAATATACATGCAATTGTGTATGCAATAACTTAAGCATACCTCAGCAGTATACATGTGTATATACATACATATATGTAACTGAAACTGAGGTACGAACATAATTACATTGTACATATGTAAATGCAGACATACTTGTTTGTCGATCTGTTCATCTGTGTAATAGGTCTCATCACGGGGGTCTTGAGCACTCCAAACCCTACACCCTAAACCACAACACCCCAAACCCTAAACCCTAAACCCCAAACCCTAAACCCTCAGGCGAAGCAGCTCCTGCCACGTCCCATGCCCCAGCGCCGTCCCCGCCCCAAGCAGGCGAAGACGAAAGCATGGTACGCCACACCTTCTCTCGGATTTGAGGGAAGATCTAGGGGTTCAGGGTGTCGGGTTTGGGTTTTTTTTACATCGGGTTTGGGGGTTTAGGGTTTAGGGGTTTAGGGTGTAGGGTTTGGGGGTTTCAGGTTCTACAGTTTCGGGTGTAGAGCTTGGGAATTGGGAGTTGGGCGTCGGGTTCAGGGATCAAGGCCGTTCACTGCCAATTTTCTGGTCTTCTGGCTTCTACTTTATACCAAATAAGTACACCTTAAACCTAGTCCTTTGGAATCCTTTGGATGTCTTTCTCACGTGCGCTTCCCTTCAGGCTACCCCTTAATTTCAACACTAGCTGTGTATAGTGAGCACCCCACGAAGCCTCGCGTCCTCAACTCGATGGTTCGGGAGCCCACGTTCATCTTCCCGCCTTACACCTAAAGTCAGGAGAGGAGTCTAGTCTAGGTCTAGTCGCGGCACAGTCATAAATGTCAAGCCACACCGGCGCCAATCTCTCCTGCAGATGCACTAGAGGTGAAACACAAAAAGCCGTGTGCAGGTCTTCAGTCCCATCAAGGGCCGTGGTTTAGGCCGACTCTAGGGCACTGACTTCTTGGTCATTGTGGACTAGGAAGGCAGTGGCATTTCATAGCTACAGAAACGAGCTTCGGGATTTGTAGGCAAGGTACGAGCCGTATGGGAACGATAGGCGTTGCCTTCTCCAAGCTCCCAGGAGAAAAGCAAAGTCGGTGTATGCTCAAGCAAGGCTGGAAAGATTGAGGTATGAGGTCCAGCAGAATTACTAACAAGAACAGGAAAGATATCGCAAGGAGCTTAGGGTTGGGCTCAAAGTGCGCATTTAGGGCCGTCGGGTTTAAGGTGTACAGGAAGAGCGGTGCGAACACAAACAGGGTCAATGCTGGTAGTACGAGGGAAAGGACTTGCAGTGATAGAAACGATTAATGACAGCCGTGACCACCATCACGACCCTGACAACTTCAATAATCACTGCAGTAGCAGTATTCATGGTAATACGAGTAACTTCTGTAGTATGACAACCTAGGAAACAAACATTGTCAGTCACTAGCTGCGACAACAGGAAGCCTCAACATCACTCCGGCCAATGACAACATTGGTTGCAACCAGAAGCTGTGGCAGTAGCAGTACTAGCAGGAGCAGCAGCAGTAGTAGCAGTAGAAGAAGAAGTAGCAGTACCAGTAGCAGAAGCACGAGCAGTAGGAGTAGCAGTAGCAGTAGCAGAGCAGTCGAAGTCGCAACGGCAGGAGCAGGAGCACCCAGCTGCAGTAGCAGTAGCACAAACACTGGCAGTAGTGGCAGTAGTAGTCGTAGTAGTCGTAGTAGTCGTAGTAGTCGCAGTAGTCGCAGTAGTCGCAGTAGTAGTAGCAGTAGTAGTAGTCGTAGTAGTAGTAGTAGTAGTAGTCGTCGTAGTAGTAGTAGTAGTAGTGGTGGTGGTGGTGGTGGTCGTGGTAGTGGTAGTGGTAGTGGTAGTGGTAGTGGTAGTGGTAGTGGTAGTGGTAGTGGTAGTGGTAGTGGTAGTGGTAGTGGTAGTGGTAGTGGTAGTGGTAGTGGTAGTGGTAGTGGTAGTGGTAGTAGTAGTGGTGGTAGTAGTAGTCGTCGTCGTCGTCGTGGTAGGGGCAGCTGCTGTAGCAGTGGCAGTTGCAGTGCATGGTGCTGATGGTGATGATGGTGGTGGTGGTGATCGTGGTGATGCTGCGGATAGTGTGGATCGTGGTGATGGTGGTGATGGTGATGATGGTGATTGTGGGGATTGTAGTGATGGCGGTCATGGGGGGCGATGGTGGTAATGATGGTGGTGGTGGTGGTGATGCTGCGGATAGTGTGGATCGTGGTGATGGTGGTGATGGTGATGATGGTGATTGTGGGGATTGTAGTGATGGCGGTCATGGGGCACGATGGTGGTAATGATGGTGGTGGTGGTGGTGGTGGTGGTGGTGGTGGTGGTGGTGGCGGCGGCGGCGGCGGTGATGGTGGTGGCGGTGGCGGCGGCGGTGGCGGCGGTGGTGGTTGTTTGAACCATGGTTATGTTGTTAAGGCCACTATGCCACAACCATGCATATATTTCGGTCATCCGGAAGCTTACAGTCTAGGTCTGGATGTAAACAACAGTGTTCGAAACATGCTCGAATGGATGATTGTTCTGAAGTCAGCACACGCCACGTCGAAGTGGAAAAGCAGATGGCTAGTTTAAACCTCAGCCAGAACCCTGTAAACTCAAACAGTATCAGGGTCATGATAATTTGGATAGGATTTTAGGATATCTCATTCTGTAGGGGCTCTAAAGGGATACTATTGCTGATTGTTCCGACTTCTACCTTATCGTGGTCAAGCTTTAAAGTATAGAGTTCCACGTGGTAAGTAACTGGAGTGTTTAGAACCACAGCTTCCTCAACGCTTCAGTGCGATGTCATTCAAGGGTTCGTCTTGAGCAGGCCATCCTTCCTACCTGTCTGTCACAGAGGCTGCAATCCCGCGTATGGTTGGGCCTTGTCAGAAGTTCGGGCAAGACAGGTTTTTGCCATGTCTAGAGTCGCCCCGACACTGGATTGCAAAACCATCGGATTCTCAAGGGCCACACCTGAGCCAAGAAAACCACGCCCCTCATCCCGAATGATAAGACGTCGGTAGAGTGCTGCTCTAGTTCATGCTTCGCTGAACGCGACAGGGTGAAACCCTAAGCCTACAACCTTGTCCCCGGCCCAGCCAATCCTTCACCAGAGTGTTCAGCTCGCCTTCTTTCAGCTCGTCCGCCTCAACGAGAAGCCGCAAGCCCCCGAAGTGCCCCCAAATCCATGGGGTTTACAACTTTTACGGGGCTTTGAGGGTTTGGGGTCCCAAGCCCCCAAACCACTTAATCCCTGAAGCCCCTCACACACAGGCGCCGAACGACACCGCACGAAACGAAGCCCGGGCACAGGCCCAGTAGAGGTGGCGTATAGACACCCCACGATGACTCACGAGACAAGACAACCCCAAACCAGGATGCTCGAGCACGGAACGACCACATAAGACATCTGGACAGGAGACGAGAACACAACGGCACCACAACATGACACAGAAGAGATGTAAGGAGAAGATACGACAGTGGACAGGAGTAATTACTGGGATCGCCACCCCGACCCCCAGTCAGCTGTCGTCTGTTCACTCACGACGATGAATCACAGGCTTTAGAGGCCACGACGTGGCGAACTTCCTAAAACGCACGACTCCGTTTCCAGACTTTAAGGCCTTGGCTTGAGGAAACCCTAGACCCTAAACTTCACGTCAAAGGAGCAAACTTCCCTGAGCCTCAAATCCCTGAAGCTTCGGCGTTTTCGAAGCGCCCTATGCCCGGCCTCAGGTCTGCATCCATCGGAATACACATTAAGTTACAAGGAGGCATGTTACTAAGTAGAATGGGGTTTTGGAGGTAAACTACGGAATAGTATTGCTAGTTCGTCAAGCCCTTGTTTTACAAACCTAGAAATCGACCCCTCGTCGAACTCTTCAAGGAACCCTTGTAGGAACCCTAAAACCCCTCAACCCTACAGTATACGATCAGCAAGACTGAAAAGACCCTGCAACGCCGCAGCTTTGCAGCCTCGAAGGAAGCCAGCACGCTGCCAGACAGCGAGCACACTTGAAGTGCCATGGCTGGGTTAGGTGGGTTTTGAACTTTCAAGGGTTTAGGCTTTAGGGTTTTAGGGTTTAGAGCTTAGAAATGTCTTTTTCTTTTTGAGGAGGGGGGGGTTGGAGTAGTGTTGGTTAATGGTTGATCGAGGGTGTTGGTGTTTAGAGCTTAGGTGGGGCTTAGGGTCGTCTAGGAGCCTTATTGGTTGGTTTTGGGCTTTCGGGCTTGGGGTTATGGGTCGGGTGTACCGCGACCCAAGGCTCCCCTCCCCTTAGGGGTAATCTTCCTCATCAGCAAAATTACAGAAGACTGCACTTGGAGCGCCTAGGTGGTCGAGACTTCAACGTTTCGGGGAGTCGGGTTTGCACTGCAGGGTTTAGGGTTCGTATGCACCAACTCGATCTTTGCGAGCGGCTTTGCGGGGGCCTGGCAATCGTGACGGAAACCGTGCAAGAGCTTCAGCATTCACAACCCAAGCTCGATACAAAGCTTCAAAGCCTTGAGCTCATAGCAAGGGTTTGCGGCTTAGCTAAAAGATCAGGGGTGCCTGAATTCAAGCACACCTACAGGGAGGCATGTCGTGAACCCGGTGCCAAATCGGAAGGAGTGCATGTGATTGCGTATGTCCTGGCGTAGAACACCTATCAAAACCTACTTTGACACCCCACCCTGCAAGTAGAATTGAATCGGGGATTCGGCCGGGGGGTTCAGGCTTCAGGGTTCCAAGTTAAGAAGGTCTTGTAGGGTCTGAAATGGGTACAAGAGATGGCCCTTCTAGGCTGTTATACACATTTTGTACAGGGGGTGTAAGTTGCACATGAGCTTCACGAAGTTGGATGCCCCAGGCACGAAGACAGAACAGAAAATATAAAGGACACAGAAGCAACCAACTTGAGTTCGGTGTAGAAAGTGACAGGTAGACTTCGGAACTACGAATTCCGACCCCGCATTGAATTGCTAATTGGAAGCCTTAGGACTTCTAGCGCTGCCCGAATAGCCTCAGCCTTGAGCCTTAAGACGGGTTGAGGGTTAGGGGTTTAGGGTTCAGGGTTTGAGGATTTAGGGTTTAGGGGTTTAGGGTTCAGGGCTTAAGGGTTTAGGGTTTAGGGTTAGGGGTAGCAGAGGTTTAGGCTTTGGGTTTGTGTGTTCGGGGTTGAGGGTTTTACGCTTCTTCTAACACTCAGAAATGTTTTCGATCAACCCGAAGCCCCCTTGATTCCCGATGTCGTCTTCCAACCTGAATACACATAGGCTCATTCTGGATCAAACTTGAAGCCTCAAAAGGTCCGGCCTACATATTCCATGTAGCCACCACGCTGGCCACACTCGCCGATGATGCCCTTGGAAGTGGAGTGGAAGCCTGGCACAAGGAGATCCGTTGGCTTTGTGGTTTCAACAAGGTTTGGGGACAGTGTTTTGTGTGGTCTGGTGAGTCTAGGCTTCAGATTTAGCCTTTGAAGGCTTCGACAACAAAGAATATTCATCTATGTAGTCAAATGACACCTAATTTGGGGGGGGGGGCGAAAGTCAGTAAATAATTGCACAGAAGCCTGCATACACAACAACAGTTCTTGAGGTGGGTCAGCTCTATACACTCACGCTACTCATTCTTCCGACCCCCAGAAAAGCTGCATCAAGCCTTGTAAGACCTTACCAAGCTCTCCGACCCCACCACTATTCTATTCCTAACCCGCACAACTCCTAAATCCCTACACCCTAAACCTTCCTAAACCCCAACCAGTCCTTGATAGTTGCTTGGCCTTCCTGCGTTGCAGAGGACTCTAATGTTTTGAACTTCTCTAGACACTTCTGTCATTCAAGTGATGCAAGATGCAGGTAAGCTTAGCCCGAATGGGTTTAGCGTGTTGTTGGAGCCCTGTTCCTGCAGGGTTTTGGGCTTTGGGTTCAGGAGGGTTGAATACCAACCGCAAACCCACCCCCACTAAGCCCATGAAGTACACTGTCCTTTTGTAAATCCCTACATCGCTACGGTACAACATACACCCAAAACCCTGCTCTAAACGCAAAGCTTGCATACTCTGCGTGCCAGGGCCACTGATCAACTGGGTCTCGGCGTAGCGCCTTTTGTCCTCCGCCTGCCATGTTGTGGAAAACGCTTTGGCTTTCGGGAGGGTTTAGGGTTGAGGTTTAGAGCCGCGGGAAGTAAACCCCGAACCCTAAACCACCAATCCTAAACCCCAACCTAAACCCTGTAATTAGCAGAACAGGACTGAAGATACGGGGTTTCTGGCCGAGCGGTGGGTACACGACAGCAGCGTGTTAATCTCTTAGAAATCCACGCGCATGCAAAGCGAGAGTAGTGTGGCTCGCTATTTCGGACAAAACACGCTATGCCCCTAATGTCTCGTGTTTTCGGTGTACATACGTACATACATGCATTCATACATGCAATCAAAAAAGTGCATCAATGGTATCAACTCGTACCTAAGCAAAACACATAATATGTACGTACCTAGCTACCTGGCAACCTACCCAGCTACCTACTTAGCTGCCCAGCTGCCTGGCTACCTTCCACCTATCACCTGCATGCCTACCTATCTGGCTACAATAGAACACAATACAACACGAGCCAATACAATGCAGTCTTACATACATACATCCATCCATTCATCCATCCATACATGCATCCATACATCCATCCATCCATGCATACATACATAGCTACCTACATACACACATATACCTACTATGCTTTAGTGCACAAATCAACTGGAGAAAGCCGGGGATTCGGCCTGAAGCTCCCGCAACACTTTCTTGAAGGAGTGGAACTGCTTCCCCTTGCAGAAGGTTCAGGGATTAGGGTTTGGGAATTAGGGTTTAGGGTTTAGGGTTCAGGGTTGAGGGTTCAAGGATTAGGGTTTGGGGTTTGGGGTTTAGGGTTTGGGGTTTAGAGTTTGGGTTAGCAGTCACCACATAGGGCTTAGCGTTCCACCCTTGCGGTTGAGTGTTAAAGTGAGTGCTTGCCTCGGCGGAGTTCGGAGTGTACGGGCTGGTACGGGCTTCAAAGCTGGAGCTTCGTATCAAACACTGTGAATTTTGGATTGGAAACCCAAGTCACAATAAATCCTACATCCAAAACAGCATGGGATTGCACTGTGTGCCAGCGAGCACTCCTCAACAGAACAGCCTTCTCGCCTCTCACGAGGGATGCAAAAGAAGGAGTGACAGCAACTCAAGAACGAAGCCAGCATCGACAGTCTTGTAAAATGTCTCACACCAACCTACCTTTTCAGACTCTAATACCAGAAAATCAGAACAAGGAACCCTAATAATGTAATCATGATGCATCAGTAGGAATGGGACAACGTGGACATTGCGAGCCGAAAAAACCCCAAGCTCCGAAGCCTCAACCCTAAACCCTACCCTTACGAACTTCCACTTTGCATCAAAACGGGACGGGTTTAGGGTTGAGAATATGTACACATGATTGCACTTGGACGGCAACTTTCGCCCCCCCCCCCCACCCCCTTGTGGCTTCGGGGTGAGGGAGTGAACACTCTTTGGGGCGGGAGTGGGGCAGATAGGGCTGAGGGCAGCTCAAAAACAGGGGTTCAGAATGCAGGGCTGAGGGTTGAGCTTCAGGTAGCTACAAAGGATTTTGTGCATAAGGCTCAGGGCTTATACGGGTAGCTATACAGGGTTGAGGGTTGCACGTTCAGGAAAAACATCTAGTCAAACAAACACATCGCAGCAGCTCTGAGGGTTTAGTGCAACAGGCAGTAGGGATTACGAAGAACCGCGAAATTCACAGTACTTTTAACTTCAATTGTGCAATCGCCATGGTGAGATTGCTAAAATGCTAAGCCCTGAAACTCGGAACCTTAGACCAAACCAAAATCCCAAAGCCCTGTAAATCCTAAAGCCCCTAAACCCCATAAAGGACGTGGCCTCAGCGTAGACGTTGGCCTGGTAGACCTCAGGGCTCGTTAGGGTTTTGGAAATGAAGATGGCATTTTGCGCTTGACGACTTTATGCTGTTGAAGGTGCTTGAAAGTAGTAGTAGTAGTAGTAGTAGTAGTAGTAGTAGTAGTAGTAGTAGTAGTAGTAGTAGTAGTAGTAGTAGTAGTAGTAGTAGTAGTAGTAGTAGTAGCAGTAGGAGGAGGAGGCGGAGGAGGAGGAGGAGGAGAGAGTAGGAGGAGGAGCAGCGGCTAAACAGCAACAGTCATACTGAGAATGGAAACCATCGCAAAAGGAGCCAATGATAGTTACATGGGGCCGCCTGTTAGGGGATGTCGGTGTCCTTTGGATTTGTTGGTGATTCATCCACACAAACGAAAACGGTCTTAGGAGTCTGAAGCCTAGGGAATCTCCCGGGCCTTGATCCTGGGCTTAGCTTTCTGCTGGTTTTAACTTCATGGACGCCTGAAAAACCTCAGAACCCTAAACCGTGAAGCCTTAATCCCCAACCCCACCTTCGACCCCAGAGGCCGAGAGCCCGAAGCCTAGACCCCCCGCCCTCACACCCTGAGAAAAACCCTCTACTCCCGTAGCTTCCTTATAATAAGGATCCTACTATTTAGGGTACTTTTTTTTTGAGGTTCCCTATTTTTCTGACGTTCGCCAAACAGGGAGACTCGCGACTTCGGGCTTAGGCTTCTGGAGTGGGGGCTCGGCACCTCGTCTGCCAAGATCACGAGCTTCTGCTCGGTGGCGAAGTTGATGACCATGACCTCGGAAATGGGATAGAATGGGCTGTCCAAGCAAATACTGTCAGTTGAACTAAAGCAGCCACAGACCTCGGTCCTTGCGAAGGAACCAACTGACGGCCAAACATGATCCATATATAAACTGCAGGGTGCTTCCTGAACAGCTGCATGAAAAGAACTAACTTAGTCTTAGGACCCTCCGTATAAGCAAGAAAAGCATCCCTCAAAAATAGAGCGACCTGGAAAACATTGAGATCCTTGCATTGCAGGGTTTAGGGCTGGTTTTGTTGAGCACTTTTTCTCTCCACTAGGGTGCACGGTTTAGGGCAGGTCCACCAGCCCCGCATCCCCGAC